CAACACCATCACAACACCATCACCAACACCATCACCAACACCATCACAACACCATCACCAACACCATCACCAACACTGTCACTGTCACCGTCACCAACACCAACACCATCACCATCAATTTGAACAAAAATGATGATGACTGACTACCTCACCATACTAGAGAATGAATCCACTTTAAATCCAGTTTCTGCCTCCTGCAGAATTCTGGGGTTTGTAGTTTAAGGAGGAGTCTTTAACAGCCTCACTAAACTACAAATTCCAGAATTCTGCAACAGGCATAAACCGGATTTAAAGTGGATTCATTCACTAGGGTGATGAAGTAGTCTGAGTCCCCTTTGTGGAGAGAAAAAGCAGGGTATAAACAACAACACCACCACCACCACCAACAACAGTAGTAGTAGAGTTGGAAGAGATAACCAAAGGCCATCCAGTCCAACCCTCTTCTTTCTGCCAAGCAGGAGGACACCATCAAAGCCGTCCTAGCAGATAGCCATCCATAATAATAATAGTAATAAGAATGACAACAGAATTCTATTGGAAGATGCCCCCAAAGGCCATCCAGGGAGACCACAATCTGATTCCTCCTGACAGATGACCATCTAGCCTCTGCCTAACAATAACAACAACAACAACAACAACAACAACAACAGAAGTCTATTGGAAGATACCCCCAAAGGTCATCCAGTCCAACCCTTTCCTCCCAGACAGGAAAATCACAATCTGAGCTCTCCTGACAGATCATAGAATCATAGAATCAAAGAGTTGGAAGAGACCTCCTGGGCCATCATCCAGTCCAACCCCATTCTGCCAAGAAGCAGGAATATTGCATTCAAAGCACCCCTGACAGATGGCCATCCAGCCTCTGCTTAAAAGCTTCCAAAGAAGGAGCCTCCACCACACTCCGGGGCAGAGAGTTCCACTGCTGAACGGCTCTCACAGTCAGGGTGACACAGATGGTCATCCAGCCTCTGCTTCCAAAACTCCAGAGAAGGAAGGAGACCGCATTGAACTCTGAAGCATCACATGAACAGCTCTTACCATCAAGACGTTCTTCCTAATGGGTTGTTGTAGGTTTTTTCGGGCTATATGGTCATGTTCTAGAGGCATTCTCTCCTGATGTTTTGCCTGCATTATGGCAAGCATCCTCAGAGGTAGTGAGATTCCACCTAATGCTTAGGTGGAATCTCTTTTCCTGCAACTGGCTTCCATGATGTGCTTTCAAGTCAACTCTGGCTTCTAGTGGTTCTATCCTGGAGTGCGTTTAGACTGCCAAATTAATTCAGCCTGACACCAAATTTAACTGCTGCGGCTTGGAATCTTGGGAGTTGCCGTTTCCCAAATTACAACTCCCAGGATTTCTTAGCCTTTCATTTATTTATCGTGTCATCAGCAACCAGATATTTGTATTACATTTTTAACAAAAACAAACAAACAGGCAAAACACAAAATTTGCAAGCTTGGTAGTTAATTAGATGTCCTTTGAACAGTATCTGGCCCCTTGGAGTGCCTCTGGTGTTGCCGCAAGGAGGTCCTCCCTTGTGCCTGTGGCAGGGCTCAGGTTGCATTGCANTAATAATAATAATAATAATAATAATAATAATAATAATAATAATAATTCCAAACCACATTGTGACTTGTTGAGACATTCACAAAACAAGTCTCTGCTGACAAAGCCACCTTTGGACCATTCACTCCCTCAGATGCAACGACAAGTGCAGCTTCATCCATAATGCCTCTCCCCCCTGCTAACCTCTTTGACCTTTGTCCACTTTTTAGAAATAAGGCCCCCCTCCATTTATACTCGATTAAGGGTGGTGGCAGGAAGGCTTGGGGCTGAAAGTGTCATGAATAAATATATTTACTTTGAATAAATAGTACGAAAGGTGTATGGATGGGCCTAATTTGGGTGAAGACACCATTCTAAAAGATTAATGGTCCAGCGTGCGGCAGCCAGGTTGCTAACGGGAGTGCCTACTCAGGGAGCACACAACTCTGCTGTTGCGCCAGCTCTACTGGCTACCAGTTTTCTACTGGGCACAATTCAAAGTGCTGGCTTTGGCCTATAAAGCCCTAAACGGTTCCGACCCAGCTTATCTATCCGAAGGCATCTCTCCCTATGAACCCACCAGGGATTTGAGATTGTCAGAGGAGGCCCTGCTCTCGATCCCACCTGCTTCGCAAGCACGTTTGGCGGGGACGAGAGACAGGGCCTTCTTTGTGGTGGCCCTCCGGTTGTGGAACTCCCTGCCTAGGGATATTAGATTGGGTCCCTCCCTCCTGACCTTTCGAAAAAAACTGAAAACTTGGCTCCTTGAGCAAGCTTTTGGCACAGCGTCATAATCAGACAAATTTGAATCGGAAAATGATCCAGGAACGGCTAAGGATGATGGAACAGGCGAAGATCAAACATGATGACATAGTTTTAAATTTTTTATTGTTCACTGATTTTATGCTTTTAGATATATTGTGATGTTTTTCTTTGTTTTATTGAAGTATGTATTTTTATATGGCATCAAATTGTGCCGACTTGTTTGCCGCCCTGAGTCGCCTCTGGGCTGATATGGGCGGATTAGAAATGGAGTAAATAATAATAAGTAATAATTAAGGTCTGCAATGACAAAATCATTAACTACACTCAGGAGCTGTAATTAAAAGTTGCTGAACTGCTGACACTGATAAGAACTGTGACAAACGATTAACTGTTGACATTGCTGATTTGATGAACTTTGAGAGAAAATAACTTGTTTACGTTAATTAGAGACAATGGCTCTTTAAAGTTAAGGAAATGTTTACAAGATTCCTTATATTACAAAGGAAGCAAAGGAAGCTGCCTCCTCTCAAGAAGCTGATCAAGTTCAACAAGAACCGTTTTAATGTTTTTTTAAAAGTACTTACAACATTTTTGGGGCTATGAGCAGGATTCCAGATAGGATTTTGTTTCCTGAAAGCGAGACAGAATGTGTTAAGAGTAACATGGAGAAATAAGGTTGACACCTGGTAGGAAAATCAGTAAAAGCAAACAGGTTCGGACTAAATTTTAAAGTACCAAGAGTGTGGGAGCATCCCCGTTCTCTAAAAAAGTATGCCTTGGTGTATTGAGAAAAGAAAATCCCTGAATGAAGGGGGAAAGGATCCTTCATATGGGAGTCCATTTTTAATAAAGTCAGGAAAGGTTAAGGATTTCAAGGAAAGCTTAGGGAAATCCCCATTCCACGACCAGCTCAGTACAATATGCCCCTTGATGCACTTTATCCCATCTGTAGAGAAGTGTTTATTATAAAGGGTTTAATGTACTGTGTTTAAACTGTATTTATGTTTTACATGCGTGGCCATGGCCTAGCTGTGAGAGATAGGTTGCCATGGTGACAAGGCAGAAGAGAAGGTGGGCGGAGCTTAAGGAGATAAAGCTTTGAAAGTAACAGTTAAGAGTCAGTCAGGAGGATGAGACCCTGAGAAGAGGGGGGAGTCAGTTAGGGCTCTGTGTGGTGAAGCAGTATAAATTCAGTTAGTTCTTAGCATTTGTGAAAATTTCTTCAGCAAGGGAGCTGAAGGTGAAACCTTGTTAGATTGCTTGTGTTAAAAAGAATCTAACAAAGGGGGTTTTAGGGATCCCAGTAGTGAAAGACTGGAGATCGGTGGTTTGATCCGGTATAGGACAAACAGAGTGAATATTCACAACAGGGAACACTGAAATAATAAAGTACTTCACTGAAGAAGGAGTTTAAAGGATTGTAACATTAGAAGCCTGAATGTATCTCTACCAAGCCATATTGTAACCATCAACTTTGTGCCAAGTTCAACATCTTAGTGTTGCAACAATTACGCTCTGTTAACAATAAACTTGTTCTCTCTGTGTTATAAATCTGCCTCCTCCATTGATTTTACATTTGGTGCAATCCACTCTACCAAAGTTTCCTCACAACGCAGATAGGGATGAACAGAGACTTCAATTCCAACATCTCTTTATATATATAATGGTGGCAGTGTAATCAAGCAGTATTGGGACTTCCTTATAATTTATGCTGAAATTAGGTGGATCAACATACATATTTACTTAATTTTGGTAATCCCATTTAGGTGGGATTACGCTTCCTTACACCATCCTTTAGTGAAACTCACCGCATTGCTTGTCCCATCTGAGATCTCCCATCAGGCACACTGCCCTACTCATCCAGCTCACTTAGGGTTTTTATACTTTACAATTTTAACAGGCCCTGTCTGTTAAATTTTTTTTGATGTGGCTTGTTGGTGCCTGGGGGAATCTTTTGTTGAGAGGTGATTAGCTATCCCTGATTGTTTCCTCTCTGTTGTTTTGCTGTTGTAATTTTAGAGTTTTTTAATACTGGTAGCCAGATTTTGTTCATTTTCATGGTTTCAAGTCTTTTCTCCCTCTCCCTCTCTCTGTTTCTCTCTTTTCCTCCTCCTCCTTCCCGACCTTTTGAGCCCCAGAAGTTCGCCGCCATACTGGTGCTCCGGCAGAACCACAAACCAACACTTTTGGAGTTTGGGGAAGACCTTGACATTTGGGAGTTTCTTGGCTGTATATTTCACCTGCAATCAAAAAGCAGTGCATGGTGTGGGTTGGGGGGTGGCTGAGGGAGGGTGAATGAGTGAGTGAGGGAGGGCAGGAAAGGGACAGTGGTAGCAGAAGCCTAGTCGCCTCTTTCAGGCTCCTGTTTCTGCTGCCGGTGCCGCCTTTACTGTCCTCCCTCGCTCGTTCACTCACTCACCAGGCTTGGTCCTGGTGGCAAAGGGGACTGTGGCGCAGCTGGCTGGGAGTCAGCTGCATTAAGATCACTACTGACCAAAAGGTCATGAGTTCGAAGCCAGCCCAGGTCAGAGTGAGCTCCCGACCAAAACTGTGTCACTTGTAGTTGACCTTTGCAGCCTGAAAGACAGTTGCATCTGTCAAGTAGGAAAATTAGGTACCACTTTGTGGGGAGGCTAATTTAACTGACTTACGAGGCCATAAAAAATCTCCAGGAAGTATGCAAAGAATGAGGAAGCGGCAGCTCCCCTGGTGGCCAGAAGTTGGAATGTTAAATAGTCTCTGAGTGTCTGTCTATATATGTTGTGTGTCTATGATAAAGGTTTTCCCCTGACATTAAGTAATCCGCCCTGAGTCACCTGCGGGGTGAGAAGGGCAGAATATAAATGCTGTAAATGAATGAATGAATGAATGAATGAATGAATGAATGAATGAAGCTAGCAGCAGCAAAAGGAAGGAAGGAGAGCGGTGAGGAGCCAGGGCCAGGAGTGTTTTCCATGCATGCACTGTGTCATCCTCTCCTTTTTAACAATTGAAAGAAGAAAGCGCAAAAGCCGGGTTGCAGCTAAACGTCAAAAAAACCAAGATTATGGCAACAAGAATG